GGAAAGGGAAAGGAAAGGAAGGAAAAAACACGTAGGGTACAATTTGGGTCACTCAAAATTACTTCCCTTCACTCAGATTTCTAATAAGATAAACTCAGCTCCCTACAGTTTTGTTCTCACCAAGAGTCCTTCAAAAATACTTTATATTTCTTTCTCCATCTTCTTTGCCTCCTAATCCTCACCATTGTACCTTGGAAAATTAACAGCTTATATTTAATTCAAATAAACCACAAAGTTTACACAATTTTGTTTTAAGCAAGAATTAAATTTTCAAATAATAAACTGTAAAGTGATACATTTTCATAAAATTAACAATTCATTCATTTTACAAAATGTACTGAACTATATCAAATATTACACACACACCTTTTTAAAAGTTGGTTCAAAATGCCTAGCCAGATCAATATTACCACTAGTTAAAGTGATTATAAGTAAAATTTTCACTGCTTTCTATTTAAATACTGAATTACTTTAATTATAGCATTTTCTCAAATAGCTTCCTAGAAATATGTTTTTTAAAACTTTACATTAAAAAAGAAAAACAGTACATTAAAAAAGAAAAAATTTTCCTATGTTTTTGTTGTTATCAAATGTCAAAAAGTCCTTTAAATATCAATGGCTTACAACAGTGTACACATAAATATATTTTAAAATCAAGACACTCAGAGAAATTTTTAAATGCCTGACATATACTCCCAACCATTTTCTTATCATAAATATTCATAAATTAAGTTAAAGTAATAGATCTTTAAAGTTTGTTTATTTTTTTCTTAAAATTTACCTACTTTCATGAAAAAAATATATATGTGGAACAGCTTGTATTTGGGAGATGGGATAATGGGAGGGATACAACGATTTTCCTATATATTACACATTCACCAAATGAGTGGTTCCTTAGTGTATACTCCCATTTACTGGCAGCTCTCTGAATTCTGTGTCATTGCATATCTTTTCTCTGAGCACAGGCACACAGCACTTTTCAAATCCAGATAACCAAAGATATACAAAGTCATAAGAGTAAATTATTTATATGTATGTGGACTAGAATCTTGAAAGTAGCCTATTTTTACCACTGGGCTCTAATCCCAAAAAGTAAGATATTTATTCTTTAGGCTTATTCTTACAGGTCCTACGTCTCATTATTTCATTGGAATTACAACAAACAGGATTTTTAAGCTGTCATCTTTTCTATACTCTTCCTACAAAAACATTATATTTAGAAAATACCAGAAACACTAATAAAAAGTCACATACAAGGGAAGTTAAGAATCTGTTTACATACTATGACTGTTACACTAGATAGTGACAAAAGTAAAAATACTTACAATTACGCACAAAAAGTCAGCCCCAGGACCCAGAAATCACTGGTAAATTGCCTTTGAATTCATGAAAATGATCTGAAAATTTAGACACAAAATGAAATGAGAAAGGAGAAGTAAATTGCATTTATGTATTTTATTAAAGAATTATATATTCTGGCTATAAGTTATGCTGTGTTTAACTCAGGCAACTGTCCTCATCAATGGCCAAAGAAAAAACTATTTCATCGTTCTACATCTAAGAATCCAAAATCTATATCCATTATGATTTTTTGGAAAAACTATCAGTAATGAATATTTTAAAATAACTAAAAATAAAGGGGAGATTTTGAAAATGGAGGAATAAAACAAATTACATTTGAAAAATATTTATCTCCGCAAATTAAGATGAGCAAGCTTCATAGAGAACATCTTTACTGTGTTCAACAGAACTATTTTATAGACCAAATAAGAAAAGAAGCAGTTCTTAGTCTACTAAGGTATGGATCCCATTAGCTGCTGAGGCCTGTATCAGCTACAATTCAATTTAAAATTGTTTTGCCTGTACACACTTTAGTTTTGGCTGAAGAGGTAACAGATGCAACTCAAACACACAGAACTAGCCTTGTAAAAAGGGTTAGCACAATGAGTCACTTTATACTCCTTAATATCTATGGTTTCCTCTCCCCAGAACCTCTATGCATTAGAAGGTAGTTTGGTAATTATTTTTATTGTTTGGTCTAAACACAGCACATTCTTAGTTCCGTGAAAACAAAGAATCTTTGTTGCAGAGGCTGTATTCTTTCCAGAATTAGGATGGCTATGAGCAGCGTTCAATTGAAAATAATAAGGGAGTTTGAGTTCCTAATTTAGGTCAGAATCTTTCCTAGGCTCTAGGGATTCCTTTGACTCATTGTGCATTTTTAAAAATATAGCCAGTAAACATCTAGGTTGCTAACTAGGTTTAAGCAAAGTTCTTTCTGGGAAATATAAAGCACAATGATCAACATCATTAATAGGAACCACTGTGCCTAACTTTGCAGTTATAGCACACATGGCCTTACCGTATTATGTATCAGCATTTGAAACTAAGTTGGGATATCAAATAAATACCTAATTCAGCCTTTCACAAGTCCCTAAAATATCATTTTACCTATGTGACCCCAATAATTTATTTTCTAGTCACAATTGATATAAAATGGTTTGGGCAGTTGGAAAACTTTAAATGTGATTGATAAATATGTTAGGTTTCCTCACTAAACCATCTTGTTTTTTAAGAGAACAGTGTCTGAGACCTTCCCCATCTGGTTTTCTTGGCTTCCAGCAATCCAATAATGCCTAATTCCACAGGAGCAACAAGAGTCTGGCCAGGGGAAAGTAGGGCTAACATTAATTTGGGGGATTATATCCTTTTCTATTCCATGGCTTTCTGTGGTTTTGGCTAGGAAAGTAATTTTATCTTGGATACCACATAACCCTACCTTCACACACTATTTAAGTGCCCAAGACCAGCAAAAGTACTGGGTCTAATAAAAGCTATTTTTACATTTTATTTCCCCTGAATTATACATTATAATTTCTTTGTAAAGAAATAAACTAAAAAAAAATCTGTAACCAAATTCTACATATCACTATCCTTTTAAAAAACATATTGCACCTTGTTTTACTGGAAATTACTTTTTTATGTATTTCGTACAGGGTCTCACTACACAGCTGACTCTGTAGTGACATTCCTGCTTTCAGCAATCCAATAATGGATTGTAATCCCAGTGGTAGGATTACAGGCATGCACCACCACACCCACACTCAGTGGCAGGCTCAGAGTGCCTGGGGATGAGCCAGTGCAGCATGTGGTGCCAGGGATTGAACCACAGTCCCTGTGCTTGCCTAAGCAGGCGATTAGTCTGCTGAGCTATCTCACCAGCCCTGGCAATTACTTTTGAAAAGGAATGAACTGGAATTATACAAAATCCATGATATATCTCATCCATTCATCTTCATGTAAACAATGGAGGTGGAGTAAGAAAATAGTATGACTGAATTAGATCTAATTGTTTATAAGCACTGGACTGGAGGAGTTAAAATCTCCAACTCTAAAAATATTTTTAATCTAAAATAAGTTAGATTCCAGACATTCAAGGCCAATAATATTCTAATATATACCAACAGAAAGTAAATTAATTTCCTCTGTCAGAGCAACACAGTCCTGCTACATAAGTTAAAACAACTCTGAATGACATTACCAAGTTACTTGCAGTACTAGTGAAATCTAGAGCAAATAATTAAAAGAAGGTAAGTCCTTAAAGCCACAGAGTGTAAAGGGAAAATGACTTTAGTGAATATTTATTTATACAGATAATCATAAATAAAGAAGCAGCATATTTTGATAGACAAAATAGTTAAGAATTAAGACACATATATTATAAACTACTTCTTTGAGAGATAGAAGTGTTTAGGCTAAAGAAAATATTTCCAAATGTAAAAGTGGTCACTGGTCCTGCAGCAGCACAAAAGTATGAAGTATAGAAAGGAAGGCCAGAGCAAACCACCATCTGTTCTGAAAATCACAGTTGGCTTAGAAGAAGCAGTGTTCAGAACATGCAAGCACATAGGAGTGGTTCCACTCCTCCTGCTAATTCTGCAAGTAATGAACGTGGGCTAGGAACTGCACTGGAAAGTAATAACATGCTAATGTAATTTCTTTTTTAAAATGGTCTTCCCCCTCAAGAATTTCAATCAATGATCATGCCACTGACTTTTACAGCTAACAATGGTGGTGATTTGCTTCCACCCACTGTCAAATCTTTTACACACTATAAATTTACAAAATTTAGGGGCTGGGAAGATGGCTCAAGGGCCCGGGGAGATGGCTCAGTAGAATAAGCACTTCCTTGGCAAGTGCAAGGGCCTGAGTTCAATCCCCGGGTCCACCAAACAATTAATAAATAAATAAAAAATAAATAAATTTACAAAATTTTAAAAGTACAATGGTATATGGACAGTGGAACATTATTCAGCCATAAAGCATGCAAATGGATTTGCAGGAAAGTGTAAAGAGGCCATTTCTCTGTGAAAACCACGGCATAGTCAGTTAAATAACACATGGCTTCTATTATACAAGAAATCTAAAATATAAATGAGCAAAATTAAAAAAAAGAGAAATGATAAGAAACTGAGAGAAACACCCTTGGAGATGGAAAGAGGATCACAGAGAAGTAAAATAGAAGGGGATAAAGGGTCTTAAGAAGATATGTTATGCACCTGTAACAGTTTCCCCCATTGAATGTAACTGTACATACATACTAATAAAAAATGCATTGTTCAAACACTTCAATATAAAAATGAATAAAGAATACAGAGTGGAAATGTACAGTGAAGAAAATCAAATTCCAATAATACAAAGGTGTTGACACAAAACATTAATCTAGATAATTAAAGAAATGTAAATAAAATATTTTCTCTACAACATCAGAAAAATATTTTATAAACTGAATAAAACTAGTATTGGTAAGGATGTTGGAAAATGATAACTTTAACATGCCACTGATGAGGTTATAAATTTGGTTTAACTTTCCTATTAAAATATAATTTAGTGAAAATTATAACATTAGACAGAGTACTGCAAGTTTATTTTACTATCTTATGGATAGGTATTATTTAGGTTTTTACATGTAGCAGGTCTAATGTATCCCAAAACAATAAAGATATTTTCAAATTCAGTATGTCACTTACACAGTGAAAAAGAATCAATTCTAGGATAACTTACTAGACCAAAAGCAAAACCCAAATATTAAAATCTGTTTAAAAAAAAATCTTCAAGATTGCAAGGCAAATTCAAACAAGTATCCTGACCACAAATGAAGAAACCATAAACATTTGCACATACGCAGGTCCTACTCTACCAAAAATAGCTAATAGATCAAAGGTAAATAGCAAATAAAAACACTGCTACCTCCCCATATAATTAGACTTTAAAAGCTTCAAAGCTACATTTTTTAATCTTATTTACTGCTGAGAGCCACACCTATCGTTTTTTTAACACACACCCATCTTTCTTTTTATTATTTGATTTTGCAAGACAATCTAACATCAAATAAGCAGTTGAATTCAAGTAGTTCCAACATGGAGAATCAATGATTCTAAGTATTATTTAAAACACTGAAGTCTTTCCAAAAATATCTGAAGCAAAATTTTCCCACCTTTACATCAAATTATAGTATTAGATATTTAAAGCTTTAGAATCAAGTAATTTTATTTAATTTATTGATTTGCTGATTTAAATTTGCATATAGTGAAACACTGAGTTAAAACAATTGTTTTCAAAGCATTTATTTTCTTAACTATCATTCTGGGAAAGTTAGTGTGCCTAGCCTCCTGAATATTAAAATTAAAATAGAGTTATTAAATGACATCTTACATGCAAAGACAAAAACCTTTTCTTAAATATATTCTTTTGCTTTAAAACTATAATCATTCCTTCCCCATCAATTTGGGGAGAAGAAATTTTTACTATTGTTATCACTTCTTTCTTTATACCTTTAGCAGGCTAAACCTGTTTTTTTTAACATCATAATGCTTAGAAATTATATAAAATAAGGCAGAAATTAAGTTAGTGGAGAAAAATAAAATAAGAAAATTGACTTTTAAGAAAACTGATACCTGATATTTTGAATGCAATTACTAATAACTAAGAGCAATTACTGATTACTAAAAGTTAATCATAATAGGGAACAGAAACTAAAGACTTAGCTTCCAGTGTTTATATCTTCAAAGGCAAAAATAAAAATATTTCTAGAGTATCTTGGAGGACAAGATGCTACACAGTCTAATACTGCACTTTCCTAGAACTTAGTCCCTCAAAAAATTGGAACTTCTCATATTGTTTTTGTTTTGGTTTTTGGTTTTTGGTTTTTTATTTTAAAGTGTAATAAAACAAAAACAAAGACTTAAACCCAAAAAATGATACAGAATTTCAAGACAAGATAATAGGAAATTAACAATGATTGTGATATCTCCTGTTATTAAACTGTAACTGAAGCCAACTCACAGTTGCCTATTCTGGTACTCCATGTTGCTCACCTAGGTTCTCAACATAACTT